TTTTCTTGTGCTGTTCTGATTAGGTATTTTCTGCTACCCAATTCTCTAAATTGATGATTCAATCCTCCACTTCATCCAGTCTGTTAATCTGTTGATTCCCTCTAATGTACTCTTCATCTCTGATATCGTACTCTTCATTTCTGACTGGTTCACTTTTATGGTTTCCATCCCCATTTTTATGTTTTCTATCTCTTTGTTTAAGTTCTCGCTGAGTTCAACTACTCTTCCCCTAAGTTCATTGAGCATCCTTATCACCAGTGTTTTGAACTCTACATCTGCTAGATTGCTTGTATCCATTTTTTTTCTGGAGCTTTGTTCTGTTCTTTCATGTGGAACATGTTTGTCTCCCCATTTTGGCTGCCTCCTTGTGTCTGTTTCTATGTATTAGATAGGGCTCTTAAGTCTCCTGGTCTTAGTAGATTAGCTTAATGTAATAGGTGTGCTGTGGGGCCCAGTGGCACAGTCTTCCCTGCTCACCTGAGCCAGGTGCTCAGGGTGTGTCCCTTATGTGGGTTTTGTGTGTCCTCCTGTTGTAATTGAGCCTTTATTGCTGTTTGCATGTCGATGGGAGGGATTGACCTTTGGTTTGATTGGCTGTGAGGATTGGCCGGTGAGGGGATGACCTTATGGAGTGGGATTCACTTTAGCAGGGCTCTGGTTCCTGCCCAGTCTGCCCTTTGGGTATGTCCTGCTCAGATGCTGCCTTGGGTGGTGCTTTGACTCTGGTACTAGTGGGTGTGCTGGCCCAAGGGCCTCCTGGGAGGGGCCCAGCTGCAGGCCAAGTTTAGCCACAGCCTGTGCACTTCTGGGGCCACCTAGTAAGAGTCACCAAGCAACCCACAGATGGCTGCCACCCATGCTGGGCTTATAGGTGCTTTGAGAGGCCAAGCCAGAAACCAAGGCCAGCTGCCACTAGTGCCAGACTTGGGGCTGTTCAGCAAGAGGTATGGGGCATGCTGAGGCCAGATGCTGCTTCTCTGGGCTTTGTGAGCCTTTGAGAGATTTTAGGAAAGTCCACAACATGAGCCAAGACAGACCATTTGTATGGAATAAGCCACTGGAGGTGGCTTGGGTGGGTCTGCACGTTGGGAGAGGTGGAGTATCAGAGAATCACCTGGGCAGAGCGACTTGTGTTATCCAGGTTGATGGTGACTCAGATATGGCAGCTGCCAGCATCTGCAGACCGAGGAGGGGAGGGCTCAACAAAAACAATGGATACCGCCAGCCCTTCTGTTTATCTGGCTGGCTGAGATAAAACCGCCCCTCTAGCCCTCACCCTGAAGCCAGACAAGTCATTTCCTCTCTGTGTGTCACTGGTGCCTTTGGAGTAGCTGCTCCAGCACTGGAGCTCAGAGTGAGTGAGTCTGTCAGTGAGTTAGGCTGGGCGCTGGCCCTTTAAGAGGAATGTCTGTGACTCCAGCTGCCCTCAGTCTCAGCCACAATCTCCGCTGGTTTTCATAGCCAGAGGTTATGGGGACTTCTCTTCCCGGCACTAAAACCCTGAGCTTGGGGCCCAGAGTGGAGCCGGGAACCCTCACTCCTCCAGGGGGTCCTCTGCAGCTGAGGTAACCCTCCCAACTCTCAATGCCGTACATGGTTGTGGGACCAGCCCGTTTCATGTCTCTGATCTTCTTACCAGTCTCAAGGTGACCTTTTGTGCATATCTCCAGTTGTAGGACCACTGTTCAGCCAGAGCTCAAGTGACTCCCAGTGATGGTTGTTCTGTAGCTTTGTTGTGATTTAGATGTGGTCGCGACAGGAGGCAAACACAGCTTCTACCTTCTGCACTGTCTTGACACTCATCAGTGTGTTCTGTGATTTTTTAAATTTTATTTTAGCCATTCTAATGGGTATGTAGTACTATCCCAATGTGATCTTAATTTACATTTCCCTCACAGTCAGTGATATTGAACATTTTTTCATGCATGTGTGTACCATCATATATCTTCTTTGGTGACATGTCTCTTTATGTCCTTTTACTAACTGAATTGTTTATTTTTACTGTTGAATTTGAGAGTTCTTTATATATTCTAAATACAAATCAATGTCATGCCCGTGGTTTGCAAATATTTTCTTTCAGTCTGTAGCCTGTATTTTCATCATCTTAATGGAGTCTTTCGCAGAGCAAAAGTGTTTAAAATTTTGATGACGTCCAACTTACTGATTTCTTTTTCTTTTATGGATTGTGCTTTTGTTGTCATATCAAAACAAAAACAAACAAACAAACAAACTCTTCATCAAGCCATAAGTCCTGAAGATTTTCTCTTTTAAATTTACATTGAAGTTGGTCATCCATTTTGTGTTAGTTTTTATATAAGATGTGAGGTGTGGAGCAAGGTTCTTTTTTTTTTTTTTTGCCTATATATGTTGAATTGCTTCAGCACTGTTGCTTGCTTTTGTACCTCTGTCAAAAATAAGTTGGCTATATTAGTGTGAATCTATTTCTGAGTTCTCTAGCCTCTTCCATTGATCTCTGTGTCTTTCCCTCTGCCAGTACCACACAGTCATGATTATTGTCTTGATTACTTGATACTATATATAATGTCTTCTTTCTCCCACTTTATTATTTTTCAAAATTCTTTGTTATTTTGTTTTCTCTGACTTTCCATATACATTTTACAGTAATTTTGTCTAGAACTACAAAAAAATCTTGCTGAGATTTTCCTAGGAATTCTGTTAAATTTTTATGTCAATCTGAGGAGAGTTGACATCTTTAGTATGTTGAATCTTCTAATCCAGGAACATGGTCTATTTCTCCATTTATGTAGATCTTATTTCTTTTATCAGCGTTGTATAGTTTTCAGCATGTAAATTCTGTATATGTTTTGATATAGCTAAGGATTTCAGTTTGAGTCTTTGTAAATGGTATAATTTTTATTCTCATTTCCAAGTGCTCATTGTTAGTATATTAAAATATTGTTTTTTTTATGTTAATCTTCAATTTAATGGATATAAAATCATTTATATCCATCTGAAGTAACTTATTCTAGGCGTTTTTTTGTAGATTCTTTGGGATTTTCTTCATAGACCATCATGCCATCTGCAAATAGGGACAGTTTCATTTCTTTCTTTACAAGATATGTACCTTTATTTTCCTTTTCTCATGTTATTGTGCTGGCTAGGACTTCCAGCACTATGTTGAAAATAGTGATAAGAGTAGAAATTCTTGTCTTCTTCCTAATCTTAGAGAAGAAAACATTCAGTTTTCCATTAAGTTTAATGTTAGCTGTAGTTTTTTTTCTGTAGAGGTTCTTTATCAAATTGAGGAGGTTCACCTCTCTTCATAGTTTTCTGAGTTTTTATCATGAATAGATGTTGAGTTTTATCAGGTACTTTTTCTACATTAACTGATATGGGTCATGTGATTTTTCTTTCAGCTATTAAGATGGTGAATTACATTGATTGATTTTTAAATATCGAATTCATCTTGCATCCTTGGAATAAGGATAAACTCCTCTTGGTCATGGCATATAATTCTTTTTATATGTCATGAATTCTATTTGCTAACATTTTGTTGAAGATTTTGCATCTATATTCAGGAGGGATATTGTATCTAATTTCTATCTAGGAATAATTTCATAATTTCACTAGACTGCCCCTTACTATGAGTGGAGAAGGCAGGATTTTGGGGGTGCTTTTTTGGTCTGCCCTCATTGGCATTTATGGATTGCCAACTTCTCCACTATCTGGTCTGGGATCTATGAAGCAAAAAAACAAAGAACAACAGCAACAGCAACAACAACAAAAACCAAAGCATTCACTGCTATATGTTTCCCTGGATACTGAGTTCCCTAGCTGGTTTGCCTTTCTCAATCCACTTTTTGGAGTCATCGTATGTTTGTTTTATACATACATATGTCCGGAGTTTTAGCTGTATATACTTAGTGGGAGGAATAGAGAGAAATGTGTCTACTCCATCTTGGCCTGAAACCAGAAATCCAATCTATAGATTTTTAAAAGTAGATTTCGAAGCTCCTTCCCTGCATATTTATGGGTTAAAAAAACCTTTAAATTTGTTGAGGAAGGGAATATGTATGCCTTCTACAGATTAGCAGCGTGGCTAGCATAGAGCAAATTCTCAGTGGTTGTTAATCAGATCTCTTCAGCGATCACAGTGCATTTTAGTTCAGGTGCTCTGGCCTAGAACCCATCTCCCAGTGATTACAAATGTTTGTTTTTCTAGGGGAACTGAAATTGCCATTTTGCTTTGAGAATTCGGTATTTCTTGCTGTGAGATATAAAGTTGTAGGTTATACAACCATGTTGATTTATTATCCCAACTGTGGATAGTGTAAAGAGGGAAAGAAGGTGCTAGAATAATTAGGGCTGGACAAGCAGTGTAAGCAGAGACTGTAATAGGCAAAGTGAGACATATGGTACCCTAGTTATACCTGTTCTGTGTATTTACTATTGACTTAATTTGGGAATACTGGCATTAAAACATTTTTGTGTATTTCTCAAGTGCTACAGATATATATGCATGTGCTTACACAAATACTGCCTCTGGTATTCATGACTAATAGGAAATAAAGGAGAGTCATGTGGGCTGGCCAAATTAATGTAGGATCTTTACTAAAGAGAATGTCCTATTTTTTTCCTTCATATTTGTCCACAGGGGCCACCTGCAGGTCTTTTAAATGCCATCGATGCTTACACAAAATGGGCATTCCAGTTAATATGGTTTGTCAGGGAGAAACACTTATTTAAATGTCTTGGAATAAATGGAACACAAAGTGTTTGAAAAGGCCCAATTCACAGCTTCAAGTTATAAAATAGGAGTTACTTCAGGTGTAAATAATTCATCCCAACAAGTTTGATTCATTTGGTGTGTGCCTGCCTGCCTGCCTGCCTGCTTGTGAATATGTGATTTTATTTTTGGAGCCCTATGACGTTAGTCCCTTGTTAATTTAGCTCCTCTTATGAATCAGAGATTTCTGGCAGGGGTTCAGGGTCCAGACCTCTAAGTTCTGTTTCACTCCATTGTTTGTACTTTTTTGTAGACAGTCTTCCAAGCAGAAGAAGGCTATTCAAACTGCTATCCGCAAAAATAAAGAGGCAAATGCAGTGCTGGCTCGGTTGAACAGTGAACTCCAACAGCAGCTCAAGGTAAGGAGCTTCCTGAATTTGGATTCCCAGGCTTTTTATCTGGTGGTTGGTTCTGTTTGAATCATTGGCTCAGCACTTGGTTCCATTCCTGTTGGTAAGACTTGCCTCTTTGTTCTTAAACTTTTTTCAGAAGGCAGAGAATTGCTGTTTTTAAGTTTCACAGGTTGGTTTTTGTATGCTTAGAGGAAGACTAGTGACTTTAGCATGTAGGCTTCATACTGCGTAATAGTCAAAGGGACAGAGAATCTATTACAAAGGCTGTTTCAGGCATTCTTTATTGTCCAAAGCTTCTGTATAAACTCTTGTTTAGATCTGCCCTGAATCATCTTATACTTATTTCAGTGGAAAAGGGTGGCCCTGATGCTATCAAAGGCCAGTCCCTCCCCGGGTACCTTGGAAATGGCTCCATATCACCTTGTGAAGGACATTATCCCTATCCATATCACCTGCTTCTCTTCACCATTAATCTCCCCTGTGCTTATTTGCCAGGGCTGCCGGAACAAAGTACTACAAACATGGTGGTTTAAAATGATAGAAATCTAGTCTCAAAACTCTGGAAGCCAAAAGTCTGAAATCAGGGGGTTAGTGCATACTACCATGTACACTGCAGCAGTGTTTCACAACAACCAAGACACAGATGCAACCTAAATGTCCACTGACATATGAATGGATAAAGAAATTGTATATATATATATACACAATGGAATAATATTCGGCCTTAAAAAAAAAATCCTTACTAGACAGTGTGGTGATCCCATTGTAAGGTATATAAATGTTGAATCACTATATTCCACACCTGAAACTAATGTAATAGTGTATACCAACTATACTTAAATTTAAAAATAAATAAATCTTGCCATTTGCAGCAACATGAATGAACCTGGAGGACGGAGGACATTGTGCTAAGGAAAATAAGCCAGACACAGAAGGATGAAACTACATGACAACACTTATATGAGGAATGTGAAATAGTCAAACTCATAGAACCAGAGTGTAGAATGGTGGTTGCCAGGGAATGGGGAGAAGGGGAAACGAGGAGGTATCATTCAAAGGGCATGAAGTTTCAGTTATGCAAGATGAATAAGATGTAGAGATCTACTATATAGCATAGTACCCATAGTTAACAATACCGTATTGTATAATTAAGAATTTGCTAAGAGGGGAGATCTTATGTTAACTGTTCTTATCACATACATGAATAATAATATTATTAATAATAATAATAATAATGATAGGAGGAGCCTTTTTAGAGGTGATAGTTTTATGGCATAAATTGTGGTGATGGTTTCCATGTCTTGGCTGTTGTGAATAATCCTGCAATGAACATGGGAGTGCAGACATCCTTTTGAGATCCTATTTTATTTCCTTTGCATATATACCCAGGAAGGGGATTGCTGGATCATATGATTTTTAAAAAATTTTTGAGGAACCTTTATACTGTTTTTTGTTTTTTGTTTTTGTTTTTGTTTTTAGTGGCTCTGCCAATTTATATTGGAACCTACCAACAGTGCCAAGGGTTCCTTTTTCTTCATGTCCTTGCCAACACTTATCACTTATCTCTTGTCTTTTTGATAACAGCCATTCTAACAGGTATGAGGTGATAGCTCATGGTGATTTTGATTTGCATTTCTTTGATGATTAGGGATGTTGAGCACCTTTTCGTATACCTATTGCCCATTTTTGGTATTTTGTGTTTCCATTTTCATTTGTTTCAGGATATTTTTGATTTCTCTTTTGATTTCTTTTTTTTGACCCATTGGTTCAGAAGTGTGTTATTTAATTTCCACATATTTTTGAATTATCCAGCTTTCCTCTTGCTGTTGGTTTCTAGTTTCATAACATTGTGATCAGAAAAGATACTTGATATGATATCAGTCTTCTTAAATTTGCCAGTACTCGTTTTGTGACTTATCATATGACATATCCTGGAAAGTGTTCCATGTGTACTTGAGAAGAATATGTATTCTGCTGTTAGATGGAATGTTGTGTGTATGTCTGTTAGGTACATTGATATAAAGTATGGTTCAAGTCCAACATTTTCTTACTGATTTTCTGTCTAGATGATGTACTTGTTTTTGAAAGTGGATTATTGAAGTTCCCTACTATTATTGTATTGTCTGTTTCTCCCTTCAGATCTGTTAGTATTTGTTTAATATCTTTAGATACTCTTATGTTGGAGATATATATATATTTATGATTTTCATATGTTCTTGATGAAATAACCCTTTTAACATTATATAATGACCTCTGTCAAGGTCAGCACACAAAAAACAATCATATTCCTATATACAAGCAATGAATAATAATTGGTAATGAGAATTTGAAAAAATAATACCATTCATAATAGCTTACCCCCTCCCCCAAATGAATACTTAGATGTAATTCATCCAAACACACAGAATCTGCATACTGAAAACTACAAAATACTGCTAAAAGAAATTCAGGAAGACCAAAATAAATGGAGAGGCATATGCCATTTGTGAATTGGAAGATTTTAGTATAGTAGTGTTTTTTCCAAAGTGATCTATAGATTCATTGTAATACCAGTCAAAATCCCAGAAGGATTTTTTTTATGCTGACATTGGTTAACGAAATCCAGTAAGTTTCAGCTGTACACTTTAACAGGAAGGCATATATATGTTTACACTGTGTATTCACCTCCCATAGTTAGATTTCTTTCTGTCACCACATATTTGATCCCCTTTACCCCATCTCCCTCCCCCACCCCATACCCTCTGGTAACCCCTAGTCTGTAGTCCATGTCCATGAGTCTCTGCTTGTTTTTCCTGTTCGTTTGTTGCTTTTAGGTTTATATCCCACATATAAGTGTTATCATGTGATTTTCCATTTTTTTCTGTCTGGCTTACTTCATTTAGCATGATTATCTTGAGGTCCATCCATGTTGTCGCAAATGGCAGTATTTCTTCTCTTTTTATGTCTGAGTCATATTCCATTGTATATATGTACCCCAGCTTCTTTAGCCAATTACCTATCTAGAACACTTCAGTTGCTTCCATGACCTGGTCACCATGAATAATGCTGCTATGAACATCGGTGTGCAAATATCTTTCGGATATGGGTTTTCAAGTCTTTTGGGTAAATACCCAGTAGAGGGATTGCTGGATCATATGGTAGATAAATTCTTAGTTTTTTGAGGAACCTCCATACTGTTTTTCATAGTGTCTGTACCAATTTGCAGTTACACCAGCAGTGTATGAGGGTTCCTTTTTCTCTAAGCAGAATTTTTTTGTAAGTATAGACCAGCTAATCCTATAATTTACATGTAAGGGCCAAGGAATTAGAATAGTTTAAACAAATTTGAAAAGAAGAACAAAGGTGAAGGAATTACTTTAATATCAAGTTTCAAAAAACAAAACAGCACGGTATTAGAGGGATTGATGCATAGATCAGTGGAGCAGGATAGAGAGTCCTGACGTAGACCATTTGACCTTTGACAGAAGCACAAAACCAATTCATGGAGAAAGGGTAGTCTTTAACAAATTGTTTTGTAATAATCGATCATCCATATATAAAAAAATGAACCTTGATTAAACTTCACACCATATACAAAGATTAACTTGAAATGGGTCATAGATGCAAATGTTAAATATAAAGGTATAAAATTTTAAAAGAAAATATTAAAATCTTCATGACATGGAGTTAGAAATGACGCCAAAAACACAATCTATAACAAAAGAATCAGTAAATTGGACTTCATCAAAATTAAAAACTTTTGCTGTGCCAAAAACACTTTTGCTGTGTCAAGAGAATTAAGGGACAAGCTAGAGACTGAGAGAAAATATTTGCAATTCACATATTTGACAAAGGACTTGTATCTAGATTATATAAAGAACTCTTAAAACTCAATAATAATTCTCAAAACTCAAACAACTAAAAAATGGACAAAGGACTTGAACAGATACTTCACCAAAGAGGATATAAGGATGACAAATAAACATGCGAGAAGATATTCAGCATTGTTAACCATTTGCAAAATACAAATTAAAAACAGGATTACGAATATGTGGTGGCAGAAAGAAATCTATAACTATGGGTGAACATACAATACAAAATATATACGACTTACTGTTGAATTGTACACTTTAAACTTACTGGATATCATTAACCAATATCACCATAATAAATAAAAATAAAAAACAAGAAAACTTGATTACATACCACTACATACATATGATAATTGCCAAAACAGAAAATGGTAGTAACACCAAGTGCTGGCAAGTGGAACTCGCATGCATTGGTGATGGGAATGCAAAATGGTACCCCATTCTGAAAAATTGTTTGGCGGTTTTTTATGAAGTTATACATACACTTACCACATGACCCAGAAGTCCTACTCCTGGATATCTACCTTAGTGAAATGAAAACTTATGTATGTTTACTCAAAAACCTGTACACGAATGTTCATAGCAGTTTTATGTGATAGCTAAAACACAAAAACAACCCAGATATCTTTCAAAGGATGAATGGATAAACTGGTACATTCACACAATAGAATAGTACTCAAAATAGATACACAAAACAACTTGGATGAACCGTAAAGACATTGTGCTTCGTGAAACAAGTCAGTGTCAAAAGGTTATGTACTGCATGACTCCTTTTAGTTGACATTCTTGAAAATGCAAAACTGTAGTGCTGGAAAATAGACTGGTGGTTGTCAGGAGGTATGCATGAGGTGAGGGTTTGTATGTCAATGAGTAGTATCAGACAGCTTTTTGCTTATTGGAAATGTAATGTACCCTCTTTGTGGTGGTAGTTACACAAATCTATACATGTGTTGTAATTTATACAACTGTTCACTAAAAGAAAAAACTAGTCAGTTTTATCATCTGACAATACAAAGGAAAATTATTTTTAAAATGTTAAGCTTCATTTTGGTTTATGAATCTTTGTATGTGACCTTGTTTTTGTTTTGTATTTTGTTTGGTTTTGGTTTTTCTCCCCTCTCTCTCTCTCTGCTTTGGTGTAGCTATGTTTCATCCATTGTTCTTTATACTGGTGAGCCCTTTTAATTTGGAAACCCATATTCTTCAGTTCTGGGACTTTATTTTTGTTGTCGATTATCCCTGCCCCCCATTTTCACTCTTCTCCCATGCAGATATTTTTTCAGACATTGGACCTCTTAGCTTTGTTCTCTAATTTTCTCTTCCTTCCTTTTCTTCTTCTTCTCCTCCTCCACTCCTTCCTCTCCCCATCTCCTGCCCTCCTTTTCTGGAGACCGACTTAATTTTTAAATTCTAAATCTCTTGTTGTTTAGTAAACAAAGTTCATTTTTTGTAGTTTCTTTTTGACGATATCTTATTCTTGTTTCATTGTTGTGATAGTTTCTCTTGATGGCGTTTCTTCTTCCCAAATACTTTTTTTATTTTGTCGTATGTATTTCTCATTAGATGCTTTCTTTCAATATCTGATGGTCCTTCTTTGCTTATATTTAGAAAGAATATGAAAACACTCATTGAAAGTTCATAACATGTTGTGGGGCCTTCTCTTTTACCTTTTCAGCATTCTGCCATGGTGGCAGAAAGAAGCCGGGGATCTAATTGCTTCTGAAGCAGACTTTCAACCAACACGTTATCCAGCCCTCTTCCTCTCTTTTATGTCTACTTTCATGGGTATCTGATGTTGCCATTTTGAGTCTTTCAGGGATTCTTCTGTGTAAATCAGATTGGTTCTTCTTTTATCTTCCTGCTTATCTGACGATTACATTTTCTTTACTTGATCTGTGAATGAAAACCTTCTACATCTAGAGAACACAAATCCGATTAGCCATTAAAACAGAGCTCTAGTCATGGCCTCTCAATCAGTTCCAAGACTAAGTCAATTTACAGATACAGAACTCCTTGAATAAAGAGGCACCTGGGTTACCTTAAGGAATGACTCCACTGTGCCACATTTTTATACTATTAATCTTCTAGCATTTCCCAAAGAAATCTGTGGCTAATTACCAGGATGACTGTGCACTGGGGAAAGGGAACTAGTCAGATTTTGTGAGGATTACTGGACACTGGTTCTGAACTGACACTAATTCCAGGAAATCCCAAATGTCACTGTGATACACCATTCAGAGCAGAAGCTTATGGAGGTTAGGTGGTCAGTGGAGTTGAGGCTCAGGCCCATCTCACAGTGAGTCCTATGGATCCCTGAATCCACCCTGCGGGTATTTCTCCAGTTCCATAATGCATAATTAGAGGAGATATACTTAGCAACTGATAGATGCCTCACATTTATATTTCTTGGAGTCGCTAAGTCATTTACCATTCATCAGTTCACCTTCCAGCTTACACATTTTATTTCCACTACCTCTTCTCTTTTGTTTTCCCTGCTCTTGTGTGTCTATGACTTAAACATTTTTTTGTTGTTTTAGTAGAGTTTCAGTAGGGAATGAGCATGCTACATATGTTCTGTTACATCTTTATCCACAACCTTTATCTATTTTCTTTTGCAAGATGATGTTATATAGTCCCATGACTTTGAAGACTCCCTGTAGCCTGGCGATCCTGTTTGTTTTAAGCCCTACTTCTTTTTCCTCTGAGTTCTAAACATACGTTTACAACTATGTACTGAACTTTTTCTCCTAATATATCTCACGTACAAATCTTAGATGCTTAATTTCCAACCCTCTCCTTGAAATGCCTGTTTCTCATCCAATCTTGTTCTCAGTTACTACCACTACCAGTACCCACTTGTTCAATCCAAAATCCCCTTCCTTCTCTCCTACATCAACTTCATCAAGTTTTTATGAGTTCTAGATTCAACTATATCCAGAATCCATCCACTTCTATCCATCTTTATGGCTACTACCCTGATCCAAGCCCTTTTCATTTCTCACCTGGATCCATGCAGTAACCTCCCAGCTTCTCCCTGTTTCCACTCTTGTCCCACTACACAGTAGCCAGAGTGAAAAACTTGAATTCTAAATCAGGCCATGTGTCTTCCCTGATACAAAGCCCTTTATACCATCCCCTCATACTTTGAATGGTGTCCACATTCCTTGCCCTGCCCACAAGTCTCCTACCTAACTCTCTGACTTCACCTCTTGGCAATATCTTCCCTGTTCCTTCTGCTCTGGTCACGTAGACTTTTTGTCTATCAAACATACCAACCTTGTTCCCTCCCTCAGGGTCTTTGCCTCCCTGAATATCCTTCCCCCGTGTCTTCACTTGGCTCACCCCTCACTTCATTCAAGTCTTTCCTCAAATAGTGTCACCTCTGAGAAGCCTTCCCTGACCACCCTCTCCACCTTTCTCTCAGATTCCCCATTGCTCTGTTACGTCACCTTATTTGTTTCTTTCTGAAAGTATCTTGTATTGTCTCTAGCCCTGCAAGGGTATTGATCTGATTTGTCTTGTTCTTTGCTGATATCATCACACTTAGAGCAGAATCTGGCCCATAGTAGATAGATCTCAAAGACTGTTGGACGGGTGGGTAGGAGGGTGGGTGAATGAATGCTTGTTGAGTTCTGTGCTGACTATTAGCATGTTGGTTCTTCCGGGCCATCTCAGAATTGAGTCTTTATACAGAATTCTTTCCCACTTTGATTCTATTTAAGGACACCTTTATGTGTTGTCCTCTGTCCCTGACAATAAATATATTTTATGGCTGAAAATTTGAATTCCTAAATAGCATATTGTTGATTCTCTTTTCTGCCTTTCACCCAGAAGTCACACCTTAAGCCATATTTTGTGCAAGGGCCTGAATGAGACTTTAGTGGAGGGATGACTAGTGTACTTTTTCATCCCTCAGACCTGACTGAGTAGTGCCGGATTAAAAACGAGAGATTGAACTAGAAATTGAGCCCCTGATGGCTCACCTCTCAGTATTAGGAGTCCGGTTTTGCTTTTCTACTCCCTCCTAATCAGTCTTTTAATTTTTAACATCATTCTCTGCTGGCCACTGATCCTGTTAAAACTGAAGGTGAGATCGAAGTGGTAGGGGCGGAGGGGGCAGGCAGTCAGTTCCATTTCATCATCTTCAAGAGATGAAGGATTACAAAATGTGAAGCTTACTTTGTCTAGCCACCAGTTATAAACATGGTAACTTCCAGTCTACCCATCCTTGAGTCATATGGTACCTGTCTTCGTGGGTCCAATTATAAATTTCTTTTTAATATTTGATGAAGCAGGGATAAACCCAGGAAATGACTCCTTTGTTTTTTTGTTTCTCTTCTGTTTTGTACAACTCAGGAGGTTCATCAAGAACGGATTGCATTGGAAAACCAATTGGAACAACTTCGTCCAGTCACCGTTTTGTGACCCCCAAGATCCAAGTAATATTGGTGACCTTTTCTGCCAGGATCTTCCCTTCGAATGTTTCAATCCAACTACTTGTCATAGATGTCTGACTGTGTCAAAAGCTGTGAGCAGCGGAATAGAATCCATGTCATCTTTTCTGTTGTACTTCTATGTTTTACTGTGGTGGAAAAAATACAACTGATTATCACACATGAAATTGTAATTATCAGTGGAATTTCTTTCCCATTCTTAAGTACTTTCTCAAGGTGTTAGATGTTGCTCCTTACCAAAAATTGGTCTTCTAGCAAATAACAATTTAGAGCATTATTTATTTAAAGAATTTATGATTTGTACAAAACCTTATAACCCAGTACCTTCAGGATGCTTGTTTTAGTTTTATATGTATATCATGTACAGTAGGTTGGTTTCCTGAGTAATTGGAATTCTAACTGGGTAGTCTTTGGCATGATGATAATAAAAACTAAAACTAAAATAAAACAAAAGCATCATATTTAGATTGGCGCTTGCCCTCCACCACCATATGCCAAAAATTGCTTCTCTAGTGCCATTTTGATATTATATCTATCTACAAATAATACATGACTGTTGTTTTCTACTGAATGTCAAAGATTTACTGGGTCTTTACACCTCTGTAGAGTGGAAGTTTTGTCAGTGATCTGTTTAACTTGGTCCAGCTAGGCCATCAACCCAGATAACTCAGTACTTACATATAAATTTTAGGGCAAGAGCAATGTGCTTTAACTGCTTTGCCCAATCAAATTAAATAAATAGTTGCCAGATCTCTGCTTTGAACCTGCATGGGATAACATGTCTGTAAATGCATGAATTTGGAAACTACCCATCAAATATGAAAGGCTGATGAGACTGGCTTGATAAATATTTGTTGTTTGAACCCAGGTATTCAAACTGGGGAAGAAGAGGGGAAGCAGTTGTTACCAACAATCCAACAATCTCTGGTAATTATTTTTATCTTTGTTATTTTAACCTGGATTGTGATTGTGTTATTGGGTGTGAAGAAATAATGAAAGAAAGCCAATTCTGTCACTGGATACACAACTGTTTGGTTCTCTGTGAAATAGACCCTTGGGAAGTGATCGATTTATGTGCAGTCCAGAGGGGCCCAACTGACTCCAATATAAGTGATGTAAAACAGTGAGCTCAAATTGCAGAAGTCTGTATCCTATAGAAATTCCGATAGCTGCTGCATCTCCTGAAAGCTCAAGTGGAAAGTGGGAATTGACCAACCCTCACAGGGATCAAGGCACACCAACTTTAATGTTCCTACTTTACCCATTCTTAGGATAGAGGGGTGGGGTGTGCCCAGGGTCCTTTTGCAGCGTGTGAGATTAAGCCTTTAATTTCAACAGAGTTGACAGCTTTTAGAAAAGTAGGAGTCTATTTAATGCTTCCTTATTCCATTGGCAAGCCTTATCAATAGCTTAATTGCAGAAGAGAAAGGCTCAAACAGATGATGCTTTTCCAAAGAAACAAATTCTTGATTCTATTCTGGGCATATTAAAGGCTTTCGAATTGATTTGACTTAGAAAATCACAAATGTTGAACAAATCTCTATTCCTTTTTTCCTTTTCGCTGCCTCCCCCCTTTTTGTCCCTGTTGGAAGGGTTTGGAATCAGTTTAAACACTTCCTAAGATCATGAATGGGTCAGTGCAAAGGTAACCTCTTTCCCATGTTCTGAGATCTGGGTACTGCAACAAATTTTATCAACAGTGTCCTTGTTGCAGACATTTTACAGCATGTTTGCCTTTTGATCCAGGAGACTAGCATATGCACTATATCTCACTATCCTCCAGTATATATACACTCGAGATAGTAAGCAGACATATAAACTAAGGAATGTTATTCTGTATTATGTATTTTAAAATATTGACATGTCTTTCCCATCAAGCCAATGCCAGAGTGAGCCAAATTAGATTGGGATTTTGTTTAGTTGGTTTGATATTCATAAAAGGAAAAAACTTGCATTGGACAATCACAGCCCCATGAGTTGCATAGTCTCACCAATATTTTAAAGTGGGCATTGCACTAAAGCACATAACAATAATGTCTATACCTAACCTTCTGGACTTGTAGTGACCATAGTTTATTAGTTGTTTAGAAGTGGATTTTTAAAAAAATAAATACAACCACATATACATACTTATACTTACACACATGATATTATTACCTAACTAGTGTTCATCCTCTATTTCTCTGTTATCTTAGGATGTGCACTTTTGATTTAGGATTATAACTCCTAATAATGTTTCTGTGAGCCTTTAATGTGATTTATAGGAAGGCTGGGTTATTGAAATCACCATTATACCTCTCCTGTGAAACTACTCCAGAATTTGACATATTTGTTTGTTGGGCAGAATTCTGTGGACAGGAGCCCAATGTTGCTCCCATCCATGGGGACTTAATAATGTTGTTGGTAAGTGGTCTTCTTCCATCGAGGTCTTGTATTCCCAAGGATGAAACACAGTAGGAGTTGATAGCGGGCTTACTGAGTACCTCAGCGTCACTTGTATGTGCCATATAGCTTTTGCCACCTCCCTATCCAATAGACATGAAGAAAAACCAGAAGGTAGATATCTGAGAAGTGCTTGGGCCTGATGGGGAGAGGTGGCAGCTTAGCTGGAAGCTGTGTCTATTTTACTGTCATTGAGAACTGGAAGTCTGAGCTGAGAGAGCCTGTACCCATCTCTTGCTGTTTGCTTGTGGGGAAACCAAGGCCCTGAGAAAATGCAGTTCCTAGCCTAAGAAGCTATAGAAAGAGAGTAACTAGTGGCAGAGTTGGGATGCCAGTGTGATTTTATGGATTCTAAGTGCTCTAGCCTCTAGCAATACTAAAAGTAGATTAGAAGGTTTTTTTTTCTATTTACCATGTTGAATTTTATTTACTTAATCAGTCTTAAAATATCAAAACATGTTTTAATGAGTTTTAGATCTAGATATTTCTCTTGGATTGATGCAGAAAATAAAATCTGAAGGGAAAGAATACGATTGAACTATTTGTTCTTCTGAACACCTCACCTTTCATGATGCAATAAATTACTCTGAGTTTCTTGGCAGAACTTTTGAGAGCTGTTGCTTTGAATGGATTCCATTCCTGTATTCCTTAAGGGAGTTTGTTTTTAAAATAGACTACTGTGATTGAAATGAACTCAATATGTAGTAAGTTATAGCTTTCTTCAATATATCTTTGGTTACTTGGGTTGCAAATGTTCAATTTCAGCATACTTTAGGGTAAGTGATCAAAAACATAAGTTTTCCTTTGATTTCCTACCAATGTCTGAACTATCATAAAGCATTCTTCTCTTCATATGTCACTTGATTCTATAGTCTGTTTGTAAATGACATTGTCTATTTTTTAAATGATGTCACAACCATGGTAATACTAGATGTGTATTCAGAAGATCAATAAGAAAATAATCTGGAACGGATGCGTTTCTTGCATTTAAGACAAGCCTTTGCACATGTCTTGTAAGCAGTAGTTCGAAAGCTCTCAACTACAGTATAACACCTTAGAGCTAAAAACATTTGTTCAACACAAACTAGAATCACACCTCTGGCTAGATATCACCAAGGGAATGTGATTTTAAACATTAAAAAAAAAAAAAGAATTTAAGATCATAGCAACCAGGTCTTTCCATATTATTGATAAGTAGGACTCAGTAAATCACGGCTTGAAATTTATGAATGTGAACAAACTGAAATATCAGTTGAGAGGCCTTTTTCTCCTCTAGTTAAATAGAACACTCGTAACTGGTTTCTCTTTCCAACTGGTTTACTCTGTTTCAAGTGTATTCTTTTAAAACTGTTCAAAAGATCATTTGAATTTACACTTTAGTTACTGGTGTTTTGTTACAGGTTTTTGCATCATGACTCAGTGTGGTTCAAGTTCCTAAGGAAAAGTGGGAATTTGGGTTTTTGGAGTCCTTAGCTGGCATATCTTGCTCCTCCTCTGGCACAGGCTAAAGGATACCGCCCACCAATGCCAACAGATCAGTCATTGATGGATATTTGCGTGTGAGTCTTACTCTGTGAGCCACTCTGCTTTGCTTGTTTGTAATGAGAATTGCATCTAGTTATGTGACCCTCCCAAGAGCAACTGTAAGAACAGCAGACATGGAGGGCCAGACTTTAAAAGCAATGCAAGCAGATTCTAAGAGCTGCCTCCCTCCCCCAAAATATTCAGAGGCTGCCTTACAAGCATTCCCTGAAACAGCCAGTCTGTTCATGTAAGACATTCCAGGTGGATAGTTGCTTTTCGGTTCTATAGTTATTTTCTACATTAACACACACTATGTTAAAGGAACCTTTTCTAAAAGGCATTGTAGGCTTTGATTAGAGGAATTGTTCTAGTCACAGAAGCCTTGCTCTGCTCTTAACAAATGGAGATTGTTTATTTTTCGTGTTTTTTGAGTTCTCCTGTCTCGCTCTAAGTTCACTGTTGTGTGAGGTTGAAGAAAGTAGGTTTATGACTCAGAAGACTAGAGGACACTGGCTTGAATTGGAATTTGGGGACTACAATAAGGAAAACTTCAGGCACCAGTTCTGTCCTAAAGGATTCTGTTGGACAACAGGACTAGATCCTAAAGCTCCTTCAGGGACCTCTGCCCTGGGAATGGAACAGCTGATCCAATAACCCCATTATAGATGATTGTATCAACTGACTTGTGTTATTTTTGCTTTGTTTTAAGGCAATTTGTGTGAGGGCTTCAGCTGCACCCACGTTGAAAACCAGGTGTACCCTTTTCTTTAGCACTGCCATTCTTTTTGTCTTCAGCACAAATAAGATGTTCAAGTGAGCCACAAGCGGGAAGAGCCATTCTAGTTTTTGTAGCAGAGGGCCAGGAGAGAAAATGAGCTGATGATCTATTTTAACCTCGAAAGTAAAAATGTATATTTTTTCATGACAGGTACATTGAATAGTAAAATGAGTAACAGTAAAGTATATATTTGATGCGTTCTGTCTTTTCATGGTCATGTGCTAACAAGTTGTGTTAATATTTTACTCAGCCAGAGTCTCATTCATTTGCTAAGCATTCAGAGCATTATGTATATTGATCTTAAACATAAATATAGGGTATCCTATATTTGGATTGTGACTTGTAGACTCAAGCAAGTTAACCTTACTGCCTCTTTTTCACACTTGTTGGAAAGTCTGTGAAGAACATAGGTTAAGAATCTCCAACTTTGGAAAATGTACATGCTGTGAAACTGGGGTGCTGTGTTAAAAATAAATGTATGATAACTAAGTGTGGCTTTTATGGAGTCTTGGTGTTAATATATTTGTGGTCCGCATTTGGTCTCGTGCATTTAATGCAAGTGACATGAAAAGGAGTTGGCGGTCTTCCAAATTAAATCAGAATCTGAGATTTGGTTATTGTCATCGGGTGATCTGTGCTAGGGCCTTAAATATTTGTACACAGTAAACACTTGGCAGTCATGGGAAATCATGGCTAATTCACAGTGCAGTTTAAAGATCTGCTGAATTGAAAACTTGGTATAATGTGGAGTCAGGTTATTTGCTT